GTCCTCCTCTACAAACTGGAGGTGGTTGCTAGTTCCTGGGATGTTCCCCTGCGGAGCTATTAACCAATGACCGGCCAAAAAAGGCACTTTGGCGGGCGATACAGTACTCAATTTACTACGGAGCCTCTAGCATCAGCTCTGAGCGTCAGATCCGGTGGGAGATGGCTTGTTTTAAAGTTCTGGATCTCCGCTACAACCTGGAGGTGGCTGCAAGTTCCTGGGACGTCCCCCCGCGGAGATATAAGCGATCAAAAGTTGTCGGGTGAGTTCTGGCGGGTGAAATGGCTGATTTCCAGCACGGGGCTGCTTGTGCTGATGCAGGGGAATAAAAGGAAGAGATCCAGTGAGGTGGAACCATGGTCCTACGTTCAGCACCCGTTCTCCCGCCTGGAATCAGCCAGAAACCCCTGGCGGGCGATATTTCTGCAAAAATGCATAAAATTCAGAAAAGCACCTGATGGATCACTTCCAGGCAATAAAAGGAACAGATTTGGTCAGGTAAAACTGGTCCTGGAAGCTCAGCACCGGGTTTTATAACAGCCTACCCCCTGAACCACTGGCGGGCGATATTTCAGAAAACCATCTGATGGATCTGTTCCAGGCAATAAAAGGAACAGATCTGATCAGGTGAAACCGGTCCTGGAAGCTCAGCACCAGATTTTATAGCCGCCTGTGAGAGAGTTTTATATAGTGTGCTTTGATTTTGAAAAAAAAAGGGCGGTACTCTTGTGTTAGCCATGTTGACCCTGATAGATTTTTGTTTTGTTTTTCCTCCACTCTATGGAAAGAAGAGAGGAGAGTTCTTTGAATAAACAGAGACGAGTTCCCGTGCTCCAAAGTTATTTGACTCTGTGGATCTCACTGGGCAGGTTTTCAGCCCTCGTAGCTCGCACGTTACAGGGAGTACTAATTGAAGGAGGTAAAAAATTGAACCTTTTTGTTCAAGCATCACTTTTATGTTTCTTTGTCAGGAGTTAAATAAGGATTGTATCTTTTCTTTTTATGTAGGTAAATACAGTATATGGTTAAGTAGATAGTTTTGTTTGACAATACTTTAAATTAAATAAAACTAGCAACACATTACATTCTGTTTTATTTACTTTAAAGAAGTGAGGAGTAGGGAGACAAAATTATGTTTTTTTTTTATACCGAGACTGGACGAGTAGATCTCRGCAAACTGCCGACTTCAAAAGTAGCTCTTGGTGCAAAAAAGGTTGGGCACCCCTGCTCTTTAGCGTGTGGTTTTTTTGTGCATATGATTTTGTGTTTATGAGTAAACATAGGATCAGAGTAACTCATCTCTCCTACTTGTTATGATTTGTGTCTGTGCTTATGATTTAGTTTAAGTTTTCTGTCTTTTCCTCCTGTTTTCTTCCTCCTGTCTGCCTTTGCTCTAGCCCCGCCCACTCACACCTGATCCTCATGCTTCTTCCCCAGGTGTTTCTTGTTTTACCTYATTAGTTCTTCCTTTATATTCTGTCCTTTGTCCTCAGTCTTTGTCAGATCCTTGTTCTCTGTTTACTGTTTGATGTTCATGTTCATGTTCATGTTCCTGTTTGTTCTTGTTTGCTGCCACGTCAGCACCATTGTTTTTGTTTTAATAAATCACTTTTTGCCACCCCACTCAGTTCTGCATCTTGGGGTTCTAATCAACCAAGCTCAATCGTAACACTACTGTGTTTTTCCAAGACAATGCACCAATACACACAGCAAGACTGGTGAAAGATTGGTTTCATGAACATGAAAGTGAAGTTGAACATCTCCCATGGCCTGCACCGTCACCATATCTAAATATTATTGAGCCACTTGGGGTGTTTTGGAGGAGCAAGTCAGGAAACGTTTTCCTCAACCAGCATCACGTCGTGACCTGGCCACTATCCTGCAAGAAGAATGACTTAAAATCGCTCTGACCACTGTGCAGGACTTGTATACGTCATTCCCAAGATGAATTGATGCTGTACTGACCGCAAAAGAAGGCCCTGCACCATACTAATAAATTATTGTGGTCTAAAGCCAGGTATTTTAGTTTCACTGTCAAATCCCTCTAGTATGTAATTGTAAAGAGATTCAATTATAATTTAGACTTTCAGTCGAAATCTGAAAAGATTGCTCTTAAAATAGGAAACTTAAGAAAGGACTCTATTTTTATCTATAGTGTAGTAGGTTATCCTAACATAATAATAATCTTAATAACAATAATTTGTTGGAACAGTAAAATTGTCTTTTCGTGGGTTTACCTGACATAAGGTTGTCAAAATAAAGCTGCTTAAATGACCTACTTTCTGCATTTTTACATAAAAAATATTTTAATGACCTATAAAATGTGATAACCTAGATCTGTGATCTTATTGTTGTAGTGTTGACAATTTATGGCAAAATATTGTATCCCTTTTTTATATTACTTGTGTGACTGCTTCATCTCCCTTTTACCACCAATCATGGATGTTCTGGGGTCAAAACTCAGTGGACAGCAGTGGCACCTGTGCAGCGCATGATTAGTCACATGATGTCCAATCCAGTAATGCAGATCAATAGCTACGTTTACATGGACAAAAGTAATTGGATTAAAAGGTCGTTCAGAATAAAAATGCGTCATGTAAACAGCCCATTCGGATTATTCTGATCCGATTGAGCTCGATCTGAATGAATTTTTAATCCGAATGAGTCGGGTGGGTTATGCAGATTGATAATCGGAATGAGGTTCATGTAAACAYTTAATCCGATCATCTTATTCTGATTGTAGAAAAATGACCTGTGTGCATGTCTTCTGACTTTCATTCACCCGGTTCTGCTCTTAGAGGAGGTGGGGCAGCTGTGCTGCACCGCACAGAACTTTTCCTCCTCGCTCTCTTAACAGATGAAAAAGGAAACAAACAGCAGACGTTGCTTCGCAAAAATAAAAATAAAAAACACTTATTGCTTCATCTGCAGCTGAACCGAGGAGTAACGACGTCTCTACCGTTATTAAAAAGCTGAAACGGGTCCGTTCTGAGCGCACAGAGGAGCTTTGTTTACGTTTGTAACACGGAAGTAGAGCTGAAAGTTTACAACACTGCGCATGTCTGGACTTCTATTCTGAATAAAAGTCCTGTGCATGTAAACACTTTTCATGATCAGATTGTGTCCATGTAAACAGTACATTCGGATTATTTAATCCGAATACATTTCAATCAGATCAAAATATTTTGTGCATGTAAACATAGCTATTGACTAAGTTCACTCATTACTGTGCACTGTATGTCAGCAAGGGAGATTTCTTTTGGACAAATTTGCAAAAGCCAAATGGTGTTCATTGTCTCTGTCTGTGTATCATAAAGGTCTTGTGGTGAAGGAAGGTAAAATCTGTACAGGGAAGTAAGAGTGTAGACCCCCAGTGGGAGGGGCTTCCCAGGAGTTCTGTACTGCTGTATAAAMTGTCCATGCCAAAAAGAAGGTCTCACAACTATGTCAGCGAGAACAGAGTTCTTCAGTTCTCACAGAGTACAGAGAAGCCTTGAGGAAAACAGGTTGAAATTTGTGGAAAATCAGGTCTTGGTGGGGGAACAAAACCTGACACAACACCGGTACGGTGTTCTCAAACATGGGCCCAAATTCTAGTCTCAAAGTTTCCTGAAACATTTATGTTGTCAACATGTAGCAGAAAGACAATCTGTCTAACTTCATAGTAGGGTTGGGCAAAATCGTATCGTGTGCAATTAATCGCCAGAAAAACATTAATCGATTATTTTTGGCACTTGACGATTAATATGATTAATGTCACCAGGCAGAGTCCACTCAGTGCGCCTCTCCACTTCAAATATGACCAACATTAAAAAAAGTTCTGTGATTTCTTTATCTATCAACACAATTTAAAGTTTGATGTGTAGCCTGAMGTCTGTAATTTTGACAATTTGGGACAGGTTTTTACTGAGCAAATCTTTCCCACTAAATTGGTCATGTGACTAGGGCATAAGGGTGTCCAGGGACTCTAAGGGATTAATCGTCAAATTAATCGTTATCGACTAAATACCACAATTAATCGCGATTAATTTTTTTGCCAATATCGCCCARCCCTACTTAAAAGAGACATTTAGCAACTTCAAAATAAACTTACAGAGGTTTAGATAGACCTCAGTTCCTGCTGACTCCTTGCTCTTCTCAGCGTCTTGGCGAACGAACCATTCGCTAGCTTCAAGTACTCCAGCATTTTAGACCCTGTTGGCCTTTGAAACTTAACCTGGATCATTGAACATGGCTGAAGTCACAACTCTTTTATCCACCATGAGAGCTTGGAATTGAAACTGTAGCTCAGATGGAGCTGACTGGATGTGTGCAATGCATACTCATGGTGTGGAGAAAAACTATTCAAACRTTTAGGAATGTAAACAATAAATTCATAAAGTAACTTGAACTTAACTTTAACTTGAAATATTGAAGTTGACTAGTTTACATGAGGGCAGCACAGTGGTTCAGTTGGTAGAGCTGATGCCTCTCAGCAAGAAGGTTGCTGGTTCAAATCCCAGCCCGGGGACCTTTCTGGGTAGAGTTTGCATGTTCTCTCCATGCATGCGTGGGTTTTCTCCAGGCACTCTGGCTTCCTCCCACTGACCAAAAACATGACTGTTAGGTTAATTGATAACTCTAAGTTATCCCTAGGTGAGAATGAATGGTTGTCTTGTTTGTCTCTATGTGTCCCTGCGATGGACTGGAGACCTGTCCAGGGTGTACCCTGCCCCTCGCACTGTGACTGCTTGATATGGGCACCAGTGACCCCTGTGACCCTAGAAGAGGAATAAATGGGTATAGATAATGGATGGGTGGATGGATGGATGGTTTACATGATAGATTACACTGTTTTTTGTAAACTGTATTGATTTTAATCTTGAAGTCAGACAACCTGTTCTCCAAAGCTGGACACCACCATTTATTGGGCTACAAGGTAATTAAAGACTGTCAGCATGTTACATTATCTGGATCTGAAACAGGGTTTGGTTGAAATGTGGACAGACTAAAGCTCATACCTTTGTAGTAGAAGAGACACCTGTCAGTGAGCACAAACCACCTTTTATTCCACTGTTTGACTCCACTGCTGGCCTGTAGGAAACACACCACATATGCATCAACTCACTAATCAAACTGATGTGTTTCTCATCTAAAAACTGGATGCCTGATAACTTTTTTTACAAACAAAATTATATGCATTAATGCAGGGCTGTTCAACTAAATTGCTCCGAAGGCCACAGTTACTGCAGGTCAACAGCTGAGGGGCCGAACATCCAGCAATTAAAGTTATTATGTAAATAAACCAAGTATTACAAAGATCTGTTGCCTTTGAAATAGTTTGTTTTGCTGTATTTAACCATGAATACAACATGTAGAACCCTATAAAAGTAGTGATAATTAAACAATATCAAAAACAAAAATAACACATTATGTCTCATAATTAACACAAATATTATTTTGACATCTCTGACTTTTTCTTTTCATAGTTTTATCTTCAACTACTTGTAGTATTAACTGTCTTGAGTGTTCATAGAAATGTTTTTACCAGCTTGTAGCCAAGAATCTGACGTTTCTGAAGACACCAAACATGTCTATGTTTAACTAAAAGAACAGAGTAATTAAAGTAGAAAACCAGGAGTTTGGGCTGAAGAGATGAATGAACTAATTGGCTGAACTTTGGTCACATGCGGGCCGGATGTGGCCTGTGGGCCACCAGTTGAATAATGCTGTATTAGTGCCATGCCCTTTGTTAAGGTTCAGATTTATATTACATACATTAGATCAGAAATAGAGAAAATGGGCCTCATGCAAGAACCGTTCGTACGCACAGATTTGTTCTTAAGTTGTGCGTACGAGTGATTTAGGAGAATTT